AAAGGTGAGCCAAGACGAGATGAGCTCTAGTTCAAAAAACACATCTTCGCACCGGCAGTCGGTGCGCTGGGCATTTATTATAGGTGACAACAGACTGCAGTCGTCAAGGGGGGCGGGTTATTACATTGCAAGGCAACTGAATGAACAGCATTTCAGCCGCTTGTACTTCGTTGGTATCAGTTTTTCAAATCAGCTTTAATTTTGAAACGGTGGACAGAATAAGAAGCAACTTACTGGTCGTGACTCTGATGAGGCAACTTCTGGAAATTATCCTCTTCCTCCTGAAAAGTTTGATGCGCAAGCAGCAGGCTTAGATCCTTGCCCGAACAACCGCTAAGTAAACACTTCTCCACGCTTCGTTTCGTTCTACAAAAACACAAAATTGTCCTTGGTTTGTGCAGCTCAAAATAACTGGCCAGTTGGCAAAAAAACTTATACCACACATTTTTGAGCACAAAAACGAGAACAGAAATGCATATTTGAATGCGCCAAGAAGCACAGCTGCGCATGAATTCATCATTCACTGTAGGGCAGTGATCCGAAAAGTTTTTTTCCTCTTTGTTCTTTTATCTCTTGAACTGTCCTTTTCTTCAAGCTGGAAACATGCAGGTCGACTTGGATGGGTCTGGAACGATTCCTACAGTACTAATCATCAGCAGTACAACCCGTCCCGTAGTCTGGCAGTCTTGGTGATTTGGAAATCTCTATTAAACTTGTTATACAGTCTCTCTTCCGCTCCACGCCGAAAGTCCCCTTTTTGCCACTTTGATAAAACTGGAGTGAGGGACAGATTTTTTTGAAATAAGAGGGAAACAGTGCAAAAGTAACCAGGCATCGAATTAACCTTTGGAAGAGAATCTCCGCATCATCACTTCTATCGTCATCAGCACAGTAAAAGGGATGAAGATAAAGTTTTTTGTAGGGAATACTCTCTGTACTTTCGGCAACCAATGGCATCGTCTTCTCGATCAGATCACGCAGTTGTGATTTCTTCTCCGGAATTACCTTAATTAGTTA